AAAAAAAAAAAAAAAGAAATATGCCACAGACTAGCACTTGGTAGAGCAGCCATGAAGCCCTTGGAAAAGATATTCAAATGGTGTGATATGTCTATATCTACAAAGATCAGAATCACGTAAGCCATGGTATTCCCTGTGACACTTTATAAAGTGAAAGTGGGCCTTTAAAGGGAAGAGTATTGATGCCTTTGAACTTTGGTATTGGAGAAGACTCCTGAAAATACTGTGGACAGCCAAGAAAACAAATTGATGGATCATTGAAGAAATTAACCCAGAGTTCTCACTCAAGGCACAGATGACCAGGCTCAAATTATCCTATTTTGGACACATTATATGAAGACCCAGGTCTCTGGAAAGGGCTATAATGCTGGGAAAGGTGGAAGGAAAGAGAAGAGGACAACCAGCAGCAAGGTGGCTGGACTGAGTTACAGTGGCAATGAGTGCACTGTTGGGAGACTTGAAAGAACAGGTTAGGGATAGATTATTATGGAGAAAATCTATCTATATGGTCGCTAGGAGTCAAAAACAACTTGATGGCACATAATCAATCAATCAATCTAGTTTATTTGTACCACACGCTAGAAAATTCATGTATGTGTATTGTGCTATGTTAAATCTTGCATAGATGAGCTCCACCATACGCCAGAGTGGTCATGACACATTTTCTCCAAGATTTTGATACTGCAAATTCTTATGGTTCCAAATTTTGCAAGTGAGATAAACAAAATCCTTCAATACCCACATATACTGTGCTTCATACATTCTAAAACATGTAAGTATATGATTGTTATTACCACTGCTACAGGAATTAGTTGGTGAGAAATAGAGGAACCACATATATAAAAATGCTACATTTTCTGAAGCCAAATTTGTAACAGTTTTGTATATTGTGATCAAAATGACATGGCAGACCAATAACTGTTTCATCAATTGAGCCCGCAAAGCAGATAATTAATGGTATCTAAATGTGCTTTACAGTATCAGCAGCATAAGTTCTAAAATATGCAATAATTCAAGTATACTTGAGGGAGATTCACTGTCTCACAATGAACGAGCAGTAACTGCACATTTATTCCTCAATGAATTGACTGAAAGAATGGGTTTCACGCTGATAAGAATAATAGCAGACTGGCTAACACATCTGTGCACATATTATCAGTTTTGTATCTGTCCCTTATGGCTTTTTTCCCACCCGACTCTCACTCAGTTTCTCTCTAGTGGCTTATTAACCCTTTTAAGAGCTTTTCACTGGTTGCAGTATCAAAGGTACTGATGAAAAGCTTAATTGGTTAACTGTTAGAGAATCATATGGCTTTAGGATACAACAGAGATCAAAGATATGATTTAATAAGGTGTAAGATCAATTCTTTGGGGATTTGGATTCATGTTCTATGTCTTACGTGACCTTTCTTTATTTAGTCTCATTTTCCTTTCTCTGAACAGACTCTACAGCAAAATACAGAGTAACACATGTAAAACAAAGATAACCATCAACTCAGATAAACATACTTCTTGTTGTACCCAGAGCAGAATACTGCTCTCTTTTCCCTTCCTTGCCTTGCACGGACATTCTCTTCTACAGTAATGGTATGTGGGAATAACCTTGGGAGACGGGGGGAAGGGAATGATGCAGGGGGAGCCCGAAGCTGCATAATTGGCAAAGAAAGAAACTCAGAAAAGATCCTCCCTAACTTATCAGGCTGTAAAAAGAGACAGCAGGAGATCTGTACTTTCAGACTTGCAAGATTATGTTAATGTAGCCTTACAATAAAGTAGAATTAGCTCAACTGGTCATGTTTTCTGTCTGGTCTACCTGGGAAGGCTGACATCTACTGATGTTTTGGGGTTCATTCTGATCAGTATTACTTTTGTTCCAACATTCTGCAAATTACAGCTAGTACAGGTAGTCCTTGCTTAATGACCACAATAGGGACCGAAAAATTCATTGTTAAACGGGGCAGTCATTAAGCAAAACATGTGACAGCATCTGATTCTATTACATTTTTTGCGGCGGTCATTAAGCAAATCACATAGTCATTAAGAGATCACATGGTTCCCCATTGATTTTGCTTGCCAGAAGCCTACTGGGAAGGTCACAAATGGCAATCACATGACCCTGGGACGCTGCAACCATCATAAATGTGAGCTGGTTGCCAAATGCCTGGATCACGATCATGTGACTGTGGGGGAGGAGCTGAGACAGTCATAAGTATGAGGACTGGTCGTAAGTAGATTTTTAAAGCACCGTCGTAACTTCGAACGGTTGCTAAGTGAATGGTTGTTAGGTGAGGACTACCTGTACCCAATCAGCATACTGAATTGGTTGATAAACTCGTTTGAATTAAATACTGTTAGCAAAAAAGTCAGTGCAATGCCTAATGCTAATGCTAATGACAATAGGTCCAAAACTGAAAGGGAGAGGGATATTTTCATGCCTCAATGGGATGGCGGGGGGCAGTGGAGGGGGGCAGGGAGAGAAGCAAACCTGCTATGAGGTATTCCCTATCTCTGCAATTACAGTTACAATTAAGAGATCAAGCAGCTTTAAGCCTGTCTGGAACCTTTTTATATGATGGCTTCTTATTCTCTCAGACATATTTCCGGTAATGTTTTTTCAATTAGCCTGACTCCATCATCAATAGAATACTGGACAAAAGTGACTATTCTCTGTATTTTGTATACAAAGAAGGCCATTAGGTTAATAATGACTTTCTGAATGGGTCACAAGAAGTGTTAGCAGGTGTACTTATCACAGTTCCCTACCTCATGTCCTCTGTCTTGCACAGGACATGACTCACTGTCTGCTTCAGAGAACGATCCAGACTCATCGCTAGAGTTTGTTCCATAGGATGGCTCACATTTTATCTGGGGTCTGACTTGGCTGTATATTCCATCTCCCATCATGCTCGGCTCCTGATGCTCAGTGGCCAGGAATCGAGCTCCTTGAGAACAGGGGGAAGATGAAAACTCACACAGAGGGAGGCTACAGGGAGAACCACCGCTGCCATCCTCTGCATAAGAGTAGGAGGAACATGAGCTGGAGGTCCTTGTTCTGGTTTCCAGAGGAGGAGACCGAGGACAAACTTTAATTGGCACTGGGCAGCTGGTGTTGGGCCGCATCCGTCCTGGGAAGTGGTCAGCTGTCTGTCCAATATGAGCATAGGTCTGGCAACTGGGAAGAGATTGGCTGCTTCCTGCCCACAGACCTTTTGGCACAGTCTCGGTGAGATCTTTATCCAAGCTGCTCATGCCAGAATATGAATGCACCGAAGGGTTTACTTGGTCACAAACATTTGAAGAGAATATAACAGTCCTCCTGTCCACCTCACCTTCCTGCTTACAGAGACCTTCAACAAAGCCAGGACCTCTGAGAGGCGATCCCACTGTAAAACTGGAAGCATCCTTCTGAACAGCTTGGGAGAGCCCATAACTGCCCGTGAAAGGGACATAATCAGCTTTATGGTCACCCTGAGTTGTCCCCTTGTCAAAAGGGCATGCTGGATTTCTGGCAAAGTGCTGTTGGGAAGTACTTGGGAAGCCATCTAAGTCTATGGTTTTTGTTCGGTTGAAGAAAGATCTTAGGCAGGAAGGAGAGGAACTGCTTTTAGACCTACCAGCTCCATTGGGACTTGGTTGCTTTCGGTCCATTTCAACATCTCCCTCTTTATCCCTGGCACCAGTCTCATCTCCAGAGAGGCAAAGTGTGATGTTTTCTTCATCATTTTCCTCATTCCTAGGCTCACTTTTAATTTGCCCGACAGCAAGTTCTGGTTTGAGGTCATCACTCGAAACTTTTTCATTGAATGTGCTTGTGAAACCTGAGGTACTAACATGTGATGCGTTGTAGACATTCTTGGTACAAGCCAGCTGGTACTTCTTATACCTGGGGTACCGTGTTACTACTTCTTTATCCAAACTATCCTTGCCATCATCTAGTATTTCTGAGTCTGGCAGCATCCCTTCCTCTTTACTGGCTCCAGAAGTGGCCGATTCAAAGTCAAAGGGCTCTGGGTGCATTCTCTCTCTTGAGCACGATATCTTTGAAGTCTCCGACTCCATAGTCTCTTCCTCTTCTCCCTCCGAGTTCTCATCTTCATGCATCCGCTGATAGGTGAGATCCTTTTTGCAAAGGAACAGGCCATCTTCGTTGTTTAGCAGCTGGGTCTGAAGGAAGCTGAAGCAGGAATCCTCCAGGTTGTGCATGCGTAGAAATTCTGCACAGTGGATGACCTCTTGTATGTTTTCTCTGCTGAGTAATAGCTTAGCAGTGTAGGCAAACTGCAACAACGGACCAAATCCCTTGGCAGTGACCTGCAATGAAAAACAAAACAAAAAATAGGGAAATTGCCAGCACTACCATCAGCATTGCTATTTTCCAAGCCCCTCTGCTATAGTAGTCAGCACTGGAAAATGCCTCCAATAATTAATTCTTTTGTTTTGTATTTTCATGTAGTAGGATGATCCAAACAATCCATCCAACAAATGATTCAAGGACAATGAGATCTCTAGCACTTGCCAAATGGTATTTGGTCTCTAGGAACCTCATGGATGTCAAGTGTTTAATGAGTGCATAACTCTACCAATTTTGCAATGTTTCTCTAAAGTAGACTTTGCAATTAGAATAAAGTATGTCAGCTATTAATAAATTTATTCTTTGAAAAACTATACTTTTTAATAGAAATTGTGTATACAATATTTAATGTTTATTCAGTTTAGCTGGGTCAAGATCTCCACTGCTGGAAAAACTTTTATTAAGTGGCACTTCAAAAAAGTAGAGATCCTTGGGAAGCATATGGAATTTAATCTGTAAGCAACTTATAATAATTCTCATTTTGCCTGTGGTATTTAATCATGTGTTTAAATAGATAATTTGGAGATCAATTTCTCCATCTGCAATATGACTAGCTGCCACAACCATTATTAAATAACTCTGAAGATACAGCAACCATTTAGCAGTCTGAATAAACTAGTCAAGTTTGTAATGTCAACTGCCCCTTGATAAAATTATTTCATTCGTGTTCCCTATGGAGTTTTATCTCCTGAGAATAAAAAATTGTCTTACACTTACAGAACATACCCACTAGGTGGAAGAACTGCAAAAGAAGTAAGCTGTCCTCTAACGTATTTTTAAACAGTACAGTACTTTCTCTTGATGAGGTCTACGCAAAATACATTTCACTGACTCAGAACATTCCACTGTACATTTTTGCTCAAGCTGAGTCAAGGCTTTCGGGCCCCCAAAACTGCAGCATTCCAGACATCTGCTACTCGTGTCTTGCTCCAGAGGCTTTTGCATACAATCTCTCTTGGAGGAACTGACACACCATCACAGACACAGTTGCTTGCTCTTACACGAGACAAAAATCTGGAGGGGGGGGGAGTTGGGAGCTAATTCGCCTACAAGAGGCACTAGGTATGAATATTATTATTTTGAAGCCTTACAAGAGGAATATTTGCTGCAACAATTCTTTCTCTTCTTTATAAAAAGGACACGTTGGTGTAACCTTGGCATATGTGTGTGTGTGTGTGTGTGTGTGTGTGTGTGTGTGTATATATATATTTGCATTTTGTATTCTTAGTAGAAGATTTTAAAAATTGTCATGTACATTATCAGCTCTTTAGTAAAAGTGACAGACGGATGCGTCTGGCACTTCCAAATACAGGGCTGCTTATATGCAAACTTTATCAAGTAATTTTTGCAGATTCCAGTTAAATTGTTTGTTTTTAACAAACATGGGACGTTTATATCCAGAGGGAAAGAACACATGAAATTTATGAAGATGAAGAAGCTATTTAGGAAAGAATTTCTTCATTAGGATAGAACAGTTAATGTTAACTTTTAAATTATGTAACTCTAACTACATTAGCATCAGTCCCAGTATCTTTTGGCACAGAGTATGACCACCACTTTTTGCATACTTATAGATCACTTTCCTGAACCCATGCCCTCCAAGATTTGTTGGGACTGCAATTCCCAGAATTCCCATTAGCACTGGCCATGACAGTTGAGAATTCTGGGTGCTGCAATGCCAATACTTCTGGAATAGTTTGGGGAAGGTAAGTATGCTAAAATCAGTGATAAGAAGCACATCAAGCATGACCAAATCAACAGCATTTCTTTCTCCTAAATTCAGAGGACAGTAAGGTAGTCAGGGAAGTTAGGAAAGTCAGCAAGTCCAGATGGATCTCAAGGGCTTATACTTTGGAATAAGTTCATAGTACTGTTTTTTAACTTTTAATGCCTAAACAGCAGGAGGGCTGACTATCAGAAGGAATACATAATTTGATAAGAACTTTTCTGGGCATTAAAGATCTGAAATAACAGCCTGTTGGTTGGGTGCAGAGGAGGAAGCACCCAACCAACAGGCTGTTATTTCAGATCTTATGAAGTACAGCCCCTTTTGAGCCCCAAGCTTGCCTATCTTCAGAAACAAATGTCAAGACCTTCTTCAGGGAGGTTTTCTAAGCTGATTGGTAATATCTCCAGCTGCTTTTACTGGATTTAATGGTTTACATTTTAGATTTTACTAATAGCCACCTTAAGTACTCTGTAAGTAGAATGAAAGACAATAAACTGAAAAGTAAATGAATAAAGAAGTCTGCAGACTAATTTCTCATAATACACTCTTGCTTCCCCAGTGTGCTACTTTTCCTTTTCCTTTTCCTTCTGCTTAATTTAAATTCCAAGGACTGGAGCCCTTCTGTAATAAAATCTAAATAAATAATTTTCAAAGAAGCTAAGAATATTACGTAGATGGAGTAACAACCAAGATAAGAACTGTGATGCGTGTCACTTGCTATAAAGGAATATCCAATAGCTGGTCATGAATTTTACTAAGAACAATCCACTTAGTTGGTCCAACAGCTGCATATGTGCCACACTGGGAAGTATTGTGTATTAGCCAGGGTAAAACAGGACATTAGAACACTAGAAAATTCAATATAACAACAGTCATGTTGAGGGAAACTACAAATAAACAAACAAATTAACTTTTATTGGGTAACTATCCAGGTTCTCCCTATACACCCCTCAACATCTTGTGTAGATAGACCATTTGTTTTCATGTTAATCTTACTTTTATCAGCAAAGTTGTCTCAGTGGTTTATGTAAATACTTTGACAACTCACTGAAAAATGCATTGTTTTGTTGTGAAATTAGGTCTTCCAATGAAGAGTTCTCTAGTCAGTGTCTGCTGGAAAATGTTGCTTGAATAGTCTGGGTGATATAGATTTTGTGCTGAGTTTTAGGGAAAAAAACTACTCTTTGTATCATCCCTATCATAGCAAGCATATCAAACAGGGAGGTAAAAACAGAATAAATACAGAGATGATTAGGAAATGTGCACCTATGAAAACTTTACTGAAGATTTTAAAATAAACTTGTTCTTTTGATCTTAAGAATGTTATCAATGTTGAATTTAACATTTTAAACAGTGGCAGACATGCCCTGCTACTGTACTGTAACACAGAGAAGATTATTAAAAAGCTTATAAAACACAGCAACATTCCAAGCCCTGAGAAATTCATCTGGACTACAGAAATAAAATACTGTCAGAAAATGTTTTAATGTTTCACTTCACCAGATAACAAAGTGGTCAAAGTAATTAACTGGCTGTAACCTTATATAAATGATCTGCCTTCCTTCAGATCCTTCTATCATCTAAAGCAGAAATTATCAATAAATTCCAAATTCTATTTAACTTGGGGGAAAATGGGAAAATCAGATTTCTTAGCTACAAGCCCTCCCCAACCATGGATTTGGCATATATTGCCTTTTGCTCTTAGATTTCTTGCACTGATGTGGCTTGCTTTTCCATTTATTCTTGATAGGCACACCATCAGTACTGGGTTTTTGAGAAGGAGGGAGTTCTTTACATGGTGCATCTTAAACCAAGGACTAAATCCCAGAATGGCAGGTTAAGCAAAGGGAGTATTAGTTGACCAAAACATACTAGCACCCAATGGACCATTAGTCTCTTCTGTATTACGTGTTCCTGACACAGAATTAAATTTAGAGACAACTGACATTAAACTGATGGGTTAACATAGCAGCCTGCTTTCCCGATATATATGTGTATAGTTACTTATATCTTAAGAATAATTTTTAAAGGTTCTGTTAGTTTTAAGGCATTCTATAACCATTTGTAGAGAAGAACATTATAAAACATTGAGTGCCTTTGGCCAGTTATGTCTGGAGATACCACAACAAAATGCTAATGCCCCATTTGCATTTTTGTAGAACACGTTTTGCTGACCAGGCACTATATTCATGCTGTTAACTGTATACATACTGCAGAGACAAACAAATACAAAATTAAGCATGGTGAAACACACCAGTTGGATTTTAAGTTCATAGAAGGAGAATTACAGTGCATTTGGAAAGTATTCAGACCCTTTGCAACAACGCTTGAAATTTAGCTCAGGTGCCTTCCATTTCTCTTGATCATTGCTGAGCTCTTTCTACACCTT